ATGAACTTTGTTTCAACCTTCCAGTCACTTCGAACATTACTAATTACTTCCTGCTTTATGTATCGATCATAAACTACATTATTGAAAGAACGGGGGACAATAATTTTTTAGGGAAGTTTGTTTAATCATGTTCATTCAGTGAACAAAACCTGTTAATATAGAAGTAAGATAAGATTGTAGAACTTGTCTGTTCACTTTATTTTTTTCTAATGTCATCAAACTTGATCGGATTGACAAGAGATTTTAATTATAGTTCAACTATAAAAATGTAGAACTACTTGTAGGTCAAAAATGAAACCTAATCCGTTCAAATAACCTAAGAACCAACCGTTTCGACCCTTTAATGATGCCTGCAGATAATGACTAATGGTCTATTCAAGGGCCCGATTCATAGGGTTACAACAAATCGAGAAAGAGAGAGGATGACAATTGCTGTTTTCTTCACTCCTGACCCAACCAGTGAAGTTAAACCAGCTGAAGGGCTTATTAATGAGAAAAATCCCAAATTATACAAAAGTATAATTGATTACACTGGTAACTATTTCCAGTTATTTCAGCAAGGGAAGAGGCCCATTGATACTCTCAAAGTTTGATGCCAAAAGTTATATTTAAGGTAAAAATTTATATCCGCCTTTCATTTTTATGCGTCGAATTTGCAACATTTTTATTTGATAATGCACCGATCTGGTCCTTAAGGCCAATATCGTCTTTTCACGGCTGTTAAAAATCATCATAGAATATGTTGTACGATAGCTGCGCCGTCGTGGAAGCTAGCATCAAGATTAATGTGTTATCATATTTTGCAGGCTTAAATCTGAGTTACTGCAGCTGAATTTTGCGCCTGGCATTGAGCAGCAGGATGCAACTTTATTATAATATATATAGAATTTCAAAGCCATGGAATAATAAAGTTCAGATGATTTTACTATTTGATATGTATTTGGTATTGGTGTGTTTGTAGAATGTAACAATTTACCGTGTGATATTCAAATATTACATCCCCATTTTGGGTAAACAAAAGAATAAAAAAAGAAATGTATTTGCTATTGCTTTATTGTAGAATGTGTGATTGAAAATAAGTTTTGAAAAAAAAAATGTGGCTCAAACAAGACTAATAACAACTTATTTTCCATTTAACTATTGATTAATTCTAAGATGGATATATTGCATGCATCATCCATACCCTATATCCCCATGTTCACGTTTATATTTAACTTTTTATGTTAGCATTAAGCTCGCAAACATTGCATGACCTAAAGAAGTACAAGCAATGATCCTTCTAAGACTTGATCATAATCCACTTGATGAAATTTTGGATCAACATTAAGCACGTCATCTAAGTTTAGACAAAGATAAAAAAGTTGATATCTTGACATCTCTAGTTATAATTAATGAAACATGTATCTCCTTATATAAAACACGTAATGTTCAGGGCACAAATCTAATAGTACTGACCGCTTAATTGATTTGGCTCAAACTAAATTCTGAACAACTTAATAATATTTGTTTGTATTAAAAAATTCAATCAAATGATCCTAACATTTTTTGAATTTCTAATAGGAACTATATCAGAAAGAATAGGTCTAAAACTACACGAGATGGATTCCATGAAGGTTGAACCAAATTCTGATCAACTAAAGCATAATGAAAAATCAGAGGTGAAAATCCCTACCAATCAAATGAGATGTATTTTCATCATTAGATTTGACAAAGTTTTACGATGTTTATGACTTTTGTAAGTATATACATTTCTTTACTTAGATGCGAGATCCAACTATTTGTGAAGTACTATATATTGTATACGTTTCCCTAGGTTGCAGTTTGACCTTCACAATTAGGTTGAGGTGGCGGTCCCTGTGGTTGATGACGTGAAATTTTGTAAGTGTTATGGAATACTTTGAAAGCATATGTATTAGGTCGACCTAATATTTTTCCCTGTAATACCTTAAAATTAATTGAATCAAACATTGAAATTGAGTCAAAATTGTTAAGCTAGATATATATTTAAAACAAAATAAAAACCAAATCAAGGGGGAGGGGGTTTGGAACATAGAAATTGAGTCAAAATTGTTAAGCTAGATATATATTTAAAACAAAATAAAAACCAAATCAGAGAGAGAGAGGGGGGGGGGATTGGAAACGGTCAGGCGGTGGGTAACCTTTTATATTAATAAATTAATTCATTACAATCCATTATATACACACACTTACAGAGAGATAGGGATAAAACGGAGGCAGAAAAGAAGAGAAAAAGAAGAAGAAATCATCACCAACACTAAATTTTGCTCAAAATATATCTTTTGGTGAGAACTAATCTTGTATTTGGGCTACAATTTAAGGTCAAGAAAAACTTCGATTTTATGTTCTAATTAGTTGGTGTGCATTGCATGGAGTAGAAATTTGGAATTGATTTCTTGTCTCCATTTTCTAATTAATTAAGTGAAAAAGGATTATTAAGTAATATCAATTAAGTATAATTGGTAAAGAAAAACAATTATAATCAAGTAAAATTAGAGATAGCAAAATAACCCGTCAAACCCGATACTCGTGGCCCTACCCTGAATAGGGCGAGGATTACCAGCTTAATCGTGTATTCAAGTTGGGTTCAGGGCGGGAATTTTCATCTCGAGGCAGTTGCAGATAACGCCTGCCCTCGTCCTATTTAATAATTTTTTTATTTAAGAATTCAATATTTTAAATGAAAAATTCTACGATTGTTCATTAATTCTAATAGAAGATGACAACTAAAATTATTTAAAGAATATACTAAATAACAAAAACTTTAGTTACCAAATATATTCGAATAATTTAACTTTTAAAAATTTTAATAACTATATCATTGTCCCACTTTAATAAATGGGGACAATAAAACGAATTATCAGAAACTAAAAAATAAATAGGTAAACAAGACAAGGCGTCGCACCGCTTAAACAGGTAATGAGGCAAGAAATTGCCTCACGAGTGGGGGGCGAGGGAACCCGCCTGTTGCCATCCTACGTAAAATCAACCACAGGTATACTTGGAAACTAAGCTATATAATTAGATGTATCAGGGAAAAGTAATTAAAGTGAGCATCAATTTCATTGAAGGAGAAATCAACAAGAACTGAATAGTAGGTTTGAATGGTTTGTAAATGGGTACTTATATTTGAATTTTAGAACACTACTAAAGTGAACTTTTCACCTACGAATAATTACCAATGGATTATATCCATTGATAATCAAAAATGACTTATTCGTTGGTAAAAGTATTAGATTTTTAATTACAAAAATCACAAACATAATTTTCGTTGGTAAAAGTAGTAGGTCTTTATCAACAAATATTCGGTGCCTAATGTTGTTGTTTAATATATCTACAATTTACCAACAACATGTTCGTAGATAATATAATTCAACTATTTTTTCTCAAAACCATGTCAGCCTTTCATCTACGAATTTTCCCTGGGTGAAGAGTAGTTCATATTACAAACAAAATAATCATTGTTAGTGTTAATCAATTTTAATAATTAAAAAATTCAAACATTCTCCTACTGAATAGTAGGTGAGGGTTTAAATTTTATAAGTTCCTATAGGCCTGGCTAGCCCTGTAAGTCTTTTTATTTTCCCTGAGGCAAGGTCGGGGTCCTCAGATCGCATTAAGATTCCAAACAAAATGAAAGCAGGAGATTGATTAGCTATAGTAGCTGCAAACACATCTCGTGACGGTGATCAAACATCATTAGCTACCTCTCGTCTCTTGACGAGTCCTGACCCAGATCGAAAGGTTACGATTCACTCCGGTACTGCTTGCTGGTGGAGATTGGGAGTGTATAAATATATATATAGGTGAAGATTAATTCATATTACCATGCAAAATCCATTGATGATATTAATCAATTCTAATAATTAAAAAAAAAAATCAATCATTCTGCTACTAAAGGAACATAATTGAAGGGTAATAAAATAAATATAATTATTTGTACAATTGGATAATACACTACAGTCAAATAAGAGTACAATACACTATAATCGAACTAAAGGTACAATACACCATAGGCCAACCAAAGGAATTCTTATCCTATATTGAAAGTTCACAACAAAATCTTTGGAGATGCCCTCCATAAATTAGTGGTCCAATAAGTTGTCAAACATTTTTCTGGGCCTTTCAATTCAATTGGCTAAAAGTTAACAAAATTATGAATTATGCTATGTAGCTCCGGTGGTGTTGCAGCCCTAGTCTAGATGACACTAAGTGATAGGTTAAATAAAATGTGAAATTAAATGAGTTATTTAATTGCACCTATCAATTAATGTTATATTAGCACCACCTAAACTAAGGTTGCAGCCCCAATGAGGCTAAATAGCATTACTCCAAAATTATAAGTGTTTAAAAAAAAAAAAAATAATAATAATAATAATAATAATTGAATTTTTTGCCATTCATCGCTAGGGATGACAATCGAGCTCGCCGATTTGGGCTGCCAGTGGCTTAGCTCGAAAAAAGCCCGAGCCGATCTGTGTAGCTCGCTTGCTTTGGTTCACGGGCTTATAAAAAAAAATATTTTAAAGAAAGGTAGAGGCAGCCCTCGGCTGCCTCTATTTTAAAAAAAAAATCAAAACCAAAATCAAGCCTGCTTGGCTAGGCTCGGTAAGGCTAGAGCCTTGATTTCTTGACCAAGAAAAGTTTGACTCGGCTCCGGTTCATAAAAAACTTAGACCATTTTACTCGAGTCGAGCTCAAGTCTTGAGGTTCGGCTCGCGAGCCGGCTTGACTCAGCTTGTCGACACCACTATTTATCGCACATATGCAGTTATTTATAACACTAATTTTTACCAATTGTAATCGTAAACATTTATCAAAGAAAAGTCGGTTGGTAATGATTAAGATTTTTACTAATTTAAAAAGTTTATACTTTGTCAATGGAAAATTAGTTAGTAAAAGGTTTACGCTTTACTTACAGCAAGATCCATTTGTAACTTAGGGACTCTCAAAATAACAACGAATTTGTGGTTGTTAATATTCTGTTGGTAAAGAGTAATAGTAACAGATATCATGGTTATAGAAATAAAAAATTTGTGTCTAAAGCCTTTTTTTTTTTTTGGTAGTGGAATTGATCATAGAGTGGATAAAGAAAGAAAAATTTAAATTATTTGTATACATGATTATTATGAAAGATTAGCTCACTATGATATATGTGGAATCTGAAGATCAAATATAGATTACTTAATAATTGGAATGTAAGACATGCAATATTGAGATCGACCAAAAAGTGTTCGTGATTATGTACCTCTTCTAGTTTAAAACCATGTTCTATAATTGATTATTAAAAGTCTTTTAAGATCCGCTTTCGTTCACGGAAGGGGCCTAAGGCCTTTGGGGAAAGAGTTAGCCTGAGGGACAATCTACGTGCGTATGACCGTAGTACAGATTTCAATCAGAGCATACATTTTTTGTGGATTTTTCAGTGCATTTGATGTGATGAGATGATAGTATAGATTTCAGTTGATGATTATATCATGACTATGAGATGATACTTTTAACCATAAAATGTCTCAGGTCTGGACTATTATTATTTAATGTTACATTGTGGATTGTTAAAGCGACTCGATTTTCGATAAATATATAATTAATGAAGTATAATTATTTTCAAATTTTTCGTTCACTAAGCTATCAACTCATATATTTTTTTTCATGATTTTTCTTATAGGTAGAGCAATTGGTTCTTGATAGCTTGAGAAGCTTGATGATATCAGAGTTATAGCCACAAATGTATCGAGTAATATGAGTCATTTTGATAAAGTGCAAAGTAATTATTTTGGGTCTACTGCATTATTTTTTCATAAGTATCTTATTTGGCATATATTTATTAGTACTAGTCAGCAATGGTAGTGGATTTGTTATCTAGCTAGTATCTATCATCGACGCATGTCACATTTTAGATCTACTAAGGTGATTTCAGGACTGGGTTTGTCAAAATGATATCAGGGCATGGTTCATAACATTTTTGAAAGGTTTAATAATTCATTCATTAACATATCATACATATTCAGTGTGTATGGTGACATGTCGTGGTGG